ATAGATGTCTCTGTGGGTCCTAATGATGCCTTGTCACGGTATAACGACCTGGAAAGAGCAATTCTATATGTACAACTGGATTGGGTCATTTTTGTCTCCGGGAACACATTTCCTGATATGGTAATTGTGGCTAGCAATGGAATAGAGTGGAGGCTCACGAGCTCCAGGCTTTCCATTATTTTGTTTCGGATTACCTTTGTCAAGTAGATTGACTGGTAAATTTTCATTTGTGAACTTAGCCCATCATACATCTGGGGAGGATCCTTATCCATCCAGTGATCTTGAAAGCACTTACCATATCGGGCATGTTTCCCACAGGTGGCCCTGGCCCGAGCCCAAAAATGAGCATCTCTGTCGATCATAGTTCATACACTGGCATCGCGGTATGGAACTTGTCCTGAAACCATCTTGAACAAAGTCGATCGACGGACCAAACACTTTGCTTGTGTGTTTCAGATGTTCCTCCTGCAATTGAGGACAAGTCATGTTTGCATTTTCCCTGGTAGGTAAGGTTGGTCTTAATCGATCAACGCGGTAACACGGTGGTTGACACAATCTGTTGACTAGGCCACGGCTACTGCCCCGTCGCAGAAATCGCGATGGCTACCTAGCAAGCATCCCTACAACCGCTTTCGAGGAGCGACTTACGGTTGAGATAGGATCTTAGCGACGGCGGTGCAGTTTCCAGCGCACAGCGATTGGAGGACACACGTGAGGATTTAGGATCAGTTAGCTTGCTAACTAGGTATCTACATCTTCGCCTTGATCTCCTCGAATAGAGCCTTGAGCTTGTCCATGTCCGTCTCCTGAGTGGGCCAATGGATGCCGAGTCCCTCGGTCTCGTTGGGCTTGGGGATCTGCGGGTTATATAATGGTTATTATTGGGGATCGTCACCCCTTCCGCTGAAGCAAAGCGAAGAAAGAGGCTTACCATGTGGAAGTGAACGTGGTCCACGACCTGGTGTGCTATGCGACCATTGTTTTGGAGGATGTTGAAGTCGGTGGCACCGACCGCCTGCGCGATCTTCTTCGCTACGGGCTGGATAGTCGCACGACAAGTTAGAAGTCTGAGCAAACAAAGTTGTGCATGGGACTGCGAGAGTTCCGGGGGCTGCGTGTCGGTGAGGGGGATGTGGGTTGCTGTGCGTCCCTCAAGGTCCCCGAAGGAATGCAGCCCTTTTAAAAAGACAGATCTCTTTGCTTTTGGATTGCCTTGTGCAGTTTCTTCCCCAGTCTCCCGGTTGCGAGTCTTCAACTTACCAGGAGTTCTGAAAGGTGGTCGTCGGGGATGTCGGTGAGCTTCGCACCGTGGTACTTGGGGATGACGAGCTGGTTGTATGGATTTCACTGGTTAGTGGGTTTATTTTCTTGTTTACTTGTGATTGAGAATATGAGCTGGAGGAGAGATGGGGATTGTTAGGAGGAATAGTGGCATGGGGTGCAGATGGCTTATGCTTATGTTGCTGGGTTCGTGTGAACGAGACGAGGTGTCGTGCGGGGTTGATGCTTTTATCATGTGGTGACGAGATGTTTGGCACCGAAGATACTCACCGCGTGGCCCTTGCTGAGGGGCTGGATATCAAGGAAGGCGAAGACCTTGTCGCTCTCGAAGAGCTTGAACGAAGGGATATCACCTATTTGTTCATATCGTCCGTTAGCTAGCTGCTTGAATACAGGTCGTGTCGGAGGAGTAATCAATGTGATTTGGTTTTGCGTATCGAGATGCAGAGGTGGAAGGTACCCTTGATGATCTTGCAGAAAATACAGGCAGACATTTTGCTGTATATGCGCGCGGAGTGAGAGGCTCGGGATGCGTGGAGTTGTTTGGGAACCAGAGTCGTGATGACAGAATGCGGGGTCAAGCAAGGTCAACCTTCTTAGTCCAAAGGCGGAACGCGACGGGGAGAGGAGGAGTCGGAAACGAGGAATTGGAGAAAAAAGAAAGAAAGAGGGGAAAGGCGCCGACGGCGGATCGAACGCTGGTAGGCGTTGACAAAAGGTAACATATAGGATACAATAAGAGCCAACCTCCGAGGAGTGGGACAAACTAGCTCAGAACCCATTTCTTGCCTTTTACCAGAGATGGCCGTGGTTTGCCCACAAAACTCCTCTTCTCAATCTTTGGACTCTTCTTCGACACAGCTGTCGATTTTATTGTTTTTCTTTTTCTCGATCAATGGACTTTTCAGGGGGTGCTTAAAAGGATTCTGACTTTTCCTGAATTTTCTAACCCCTAGATGAGGTCGTTCTGGGGGCTGCGGTGCGTGTCGTTTGGCTTTGAGGTCAGTGGGCGTAACGCCATCTCTATGCGGAGCAGCCGCACTGCGGGTACGATGTCTCGCTACGCACAGCGGAGCAGTCTTTCTTTCTGTCTATAGAATTGGTTGAGACAACTCATTTTCCTTCACAGCTACTAGATCTTACTTATAAACATTGATTTTACTCCACGTCATCGACTCCACGTCATCGATTGTCAGGCGTATGCGACTCAAGCCACAGAGACTTGCCATGTACTACATTTTATGATGGTGTCGTATATCCTACGCGTCTTTTGGTTCCTCTACGATCACCCTAGCCTATATAAACTGGGTCGATCAAGTCTGAAAACAGTACGGGGCATGAATGAGTGCATTGAGTATGTTCCAGTCTTTTAATGTCCATTCGGCAGCACTTGCCTTAGTTGGTTTAAGTCCTTGGAGAGCACTGGGTCCTTTGCGCGAAACTCACTCACTTACACTAACTAGCCACCCAAAAGGGTCGTCCTATACGATAGGCGTGCCGGAAGAACCCCCAATCGCTCTCCACTAATGTTACATAGTCTACATGTGGTCTTTGCCGAGAAGCATCAGCAGACATATGATTCGGCGGGAAGACCGAGACTGCCACCCCCGCAGCATGGCAGCTCGCTATCTTATCGGGATCCTCTCTTATCTAGACAGTCACTGGACATACAGGGGACCCAAGTGCTAAGTACATAAACCCTGAATTTGTCGCCTGAGACGCGCGGCATGATCTGCTTCCAGATCTACACACCAAGTCCTGCTAGGATAGCGAGATTTGCGCTCAGACGGCCTACGCTGTTTCCATTGAGGATCATCCGGACAAACCAACGTCGACACTTTTCCGTCTCGTGGACGCAAGCCATGTTGTCTACGGAGCTGACCGAGGCCCAAGTCTCAGCTCTTAGAGCCAACAAAGATCGCCTTGCCAAGGACCTTCACCACAGCTGTCAATGGGGCTCAGGCATTCGATGGGGAGAGTAAGTCCCGGACCATCCCTCTGCGAAGTACACAACTCGTCGTAGCGGTCACGCTCCGTATGGGATGAAAACAGCCTTGTTCGATCCCATCAAACAAGAGCCGTCGGTCAAGTTTGGAATCCCTAAGCTAATCAAATGGAATAGTGGCCCCACGGATACAGGAATGCAGCGCCTGGCATTGTCGCAAGAGGACAAGCAAGTGAGGGATTGGTTCATTGAAACGACAAAAGCCCTCAAATGTCAAGTCACCATCGACGAGATGGGTAATATTTTTGCAGTTCGTCCTGGGCGCAGGACAGATGTGCCCCCTGTCTTTATCGGCAGCCATCTGGATACGCAACCGACGGGCGGCCGTTACGATGGGATTTTGGGTGTCCTCTCCGGCATCGAAGCGTTAAAGTCCATGGACGACATGGGTCTCGAGACAGAGGGTGGTGTAGGCGTGGTCAACTGGACGAAGTATGGCAATCGACCTTCCTTCACTTGAAAGGCTTGCGCTGATGAGTACATTAGTGAAGAAGGCGCGCGGTTCCCTATCAGCATGATCTCCTCTGGAGTATGGGCTGAATGCATCTCCCTGTCGCAAGCCCACGACCTAAAGGAAGTCCCAACGGTTGCATCTCTACCCACGGCGTCGTCAGCCCCAGAGACCATGAAATCGGCACTTGAGAAGATCGATTATCTTGGAAGTGTCCCATGTTCATACAAGAAGACTCCAATGGCTGCTCACTTCGAGCTTCATATTGAACAAGGACCCCATCTCGAGACTGCAGGCCAGCACGTAGGTGTCGTCACAGCCGTCCAAGCATACCGCTGGTTCCGCCTCACCATTGTCGGCAGAGATACCCATACGGGTACTACCGCTTTTGAGCATCGTGCAGATGCTTTGTATGCTTTCGCCCAGATGATGGTGCGTGCACGCGAGGTTGCTTCCTCTCATGGGTGCCTGGCCAGCGTTGGCATCGTGGAGGCCAAGCCCGGCAGCGTGAACACCGTCCCTGGCGTCGTCAGCTTTACTTTGGATATCCGCGGCCCAGAGGATGAGTTGGTCAATGTTGTGGAAAGGCAATTGAGGAAGGACTTCGATGCTATCGCAGCGGAAGAAGGTAAGCCCATTGGGAAGCCTTGTCGCGTGGAATGGACTCTGGACTTCGATTCACCGGTGGTGAAGTTCCACCCGGACTGCATCGACTGCGTTCAGCAATCTGCAGAGGCAGTCGTTGCGGATTCTAATTCAACAGACCCCAAGTCTCTGACGAGAACGATCATGAGTGGTGCCGGCCACGACAGTGTCTTTACCTCGAAGAGGGTCCCGACTAGCATGATCTTCGTGCCATGCAAAGACGGGTTGAGCCATCATCCGGAAGAATTCTGCTCTGCAGATGATTGTGCAACCGGCGCATCAGTCATCTTACAAGCCGTTATCCGCTACGACCGTAAGAGATTCCCCAGCTAGTTCAAGAGACACAGCATAGCGTTGAGCCCAAAAAAACGGCTATGACCCATCGCCTTGACAATCTTAACAATTATTTTACGAAAGAAGCAAAGCAAAGATGAAGTCATGAATCATGCCATTAATCCTAACTATTTCATGGTATCGAGACAGAAAAGCCAGGCATAATCCCAATTTTTGTTTCGGTTTGAGGAAGTGCATAGTGTAGCAATTTCTGACTGGACGTCTACTCAAGCCACACTAGCAGCATCCCGTGTAACCCTTGGAAGACCTGCAGGCGACATTCCTCTAGGAAGAGGGAGCACCACGGCCACGGCCGAAGCCACCACGGAAGCTGGGGGCAAACTCGCCGGGGGCACCACCCTCCTTGTTCTCACCCTGCTCGCGGCGGCGGTAGCCACCCTCACGGGGAGCACGGGGACGGCGCTCGCGCTCCTCACCACCCATCATACCACGGGGGGGAGCGTGGGAACGCTGCTGCTTGATGTGGGTAGCGGGGACAACCTCAGCGGGGAGGTGGAGCCACTCGCGGAGGTAGTCAAGACCCTGGAGACGGAGGAAGCATTAGACCCTGGTCCATCATGTCTTTGAGATAACGCGATAACATACCTCGGGGGTGAGGGTGTAGTAGTAGTACTGCCACGAGAAGCGGGTCTTGACGTAACCGCGGGAGTCAAGGGACTGGAGGGCCTTGATCACGTAGAGGTTCTTGGTGTCAATGTCGCCATGCTTGGGAAGGTTGAAGTCCTTCTTGGCCACGAGCACACCCTCTGCAGATAATATTCGTTAGTAAACCCATCCTCATTCTGTCGATTCTTTAATCAACCCTCCACACAGCCACATCAAGACGGCAACGACATAAGGTAGAATTGTGAATCGAGAAACACCAAGTCTATCCAAATATCCATCCCATCCCAAGGACTAGGGAGGACGCGACGAAGGGCGAAGAGAATGAATCACATACCGCGGAAGAGGTACTCGTGGATCTTCTTGCGGTCTTCCTTGGGGATAAGCCTGCGAAGTGTTAGTCAGGGTTCATATCATCATTGGCATAGCGCATCTTCAACAAAAAAGGGGCTATACTCACATTGTTGCGAGTTCCTGGCGCTCTTCGGGGAATCGCTCTAACAACGCGCGAAGAGGGTGGTTTAAGAGTAGTTGATGTTGAGTGGAGCGGGCTGCCCGGCGAGTGGAAAAAGTGCGGTGATTCCCAATCTGGAAGCGCTTATAGGGTTGTCGCCCTAATCGATTTCCGCTAGCTTGATAAGGTTGGGTCACGTGTAACTGTTGCATCACGTGTATTTAGGCCTTAGGCCCCTGCCGTGGACAGGCAATTAGTCATTGATCCGCTCTTATCGGGGGAAACTCTCCGCATTGCGTTATTACTTCTAGACCTCCGCCCAGCAAGCGTCTCTCGCTTCGTCAGATCGAACCTTGACTCCACCTTGAACAACTGTCGCAAGGGTTGAGTTTCTACTCATCTCTCTTCTCATCGCGGAACCCATATCAGCCTTCTTCCATATCACGCGCAGCTCAACACACGAACAACATGGCGCCGCAAAACATCAACGTGCTCCTTTCATCCTTCCCGGGACTTTCACTTCCCTGCACGGTCACTTTCTCGCTGCCCTCATCCTCGAGTCTCGCCGATCTCACAGATAAAATCTCATCCTACCTCCCGCCTTCGATCCCACTCCACTCCTTGATCCTGACGACCACCAACAACAAACAACTCCTCCCCTCCGCCGAACCGCTCCTGCCTTATCTCGGCAGCAGCACGAATGGCGACGCCGCCACCACCGCACCATCCCTCCTTCTCCCCCTCCGGCTCAGCGTGCCCCTCTGCGGAGGCAAGGGTGGTTTCGGATCCCAGCTGCGCGCCGCCGGCGGGCGCATGTCGAGCAAGCGCAAGCGCAACCAAGGCGACGACAATGGCTCCAGCCGCAACCTCGACGGCCGGCGGCTCCGCACCGTCAACGAGGCCAAGGCGCTGGCCGAGTACCTGGCGCTGAAGCCGGAGATGGACAAAAAGGAAAAGGAGGAGCGCCGCCGCCGGTGGCAGGCCGTCGTGGAGGCGGCGGAGAAGCGGCAGGAGGAGCTGAAAAACGGCGGCGGGAAGCAGAAGATCGACGGCCAGTGGATGGAGGATAAGGAGGAGATGAACGAGAAGGCGCGCGAGGCGGTCTTGATGGCCATGAAGGACGGCATGTGGACGGACAATCTGCGCGATACGATCCTCGGGGGCTCGAGCACCAGCGCCAGCGCCAGCGCCAGCGCCAGTGAGGGCAGTGATCGGGATACTTCGTCTACTGGGGAGGGGAGTGAGGTTGAGGATGATGATGATGCGAAGGAGGAGGGGATGGTCGATGCGCCTGGTCCGTCAAATGCGACTCGCAGCAGTGCGCCTCGGCGTTATATCGGGTTCGATGAGGATGATGAGTTCATGAGTGACTCTGAGGAAGAAGATGAGGTAGAAGATGTCAAGGGAAAGGGGAAAGCGAAGGCTTGAAAAGGTATATCGCTTGATGGTCAATGGTTTTGCGTGGCGCATGGTCTGGGCTGGGCATTCACTGTTACTTTACTCTGGGTTTCTATTATGATTTTTATGCATGATTGCTTTCTTGTAACTACTCAATAGCCAAGCAAACGTTGTTTATACCAATTGAATATTATGGACATGAGGTCTACAAGAATCTTGGAGGAGAGATTGCCACTACCAGTAGCAAGTCATCACAAGCCAATGACTCTGGGTTCGCCACAGCAACTTTTTTACGGCCCGCCAAGTGGACCATCGATGCTATCAACTATCAGTCAACAACTATCAATCAAAGTTTCTTGCTGCAACGCTTTTCGCCGCATTTCCTGCTTGTATAAATTTCAAAATGCCGCCATATCTCGGGCGGATTGTCCCAAGAACGACTAGGATATTCCGACTTCCGTCGCAACTCCAGTCCCGCGCCAAACCACTCCCATTGTACCTATTGACGCGGCCGGAAGTCCTTGCCCGCCGCAAGCCCACGAGTCAATATCTCAGCAAAGAGCTACGCAATTACTCCACGACCGATTCCCCACCCGATATCTCCTCATCGATTTATCCGGATTCGCTGCCTGTCTGTTGCCCAGGATGCGGGGCGTATACACAGACCGTTGAGCCCGCCGAGCCTGGGTACTACAGCAAAACCAGAAAGCACGTACGGAAGCTTGGGCAGGAGGCGCAACAGCTTGTCGCAGCCCCGGACGCTGAAGGGGAGAAGGCGGCAGAAAGAATCCAGCAGTATATCGCGAAAGAAGCTGCAGATTGGGGCGAGTCGTCGGCCAGACGTGAGTGATATTCCAGTTGCACCCCCCTCTCCTCCTGTGCATTGTGTCTGTGCTGACACACGGATGATCCCCTATTTAGCCAAGAGATATCTTGAGAAAGATGCTGCTGCTGCTGGCGAATATCTCGCAAAGACACAAGCGCCTATACAGATTTGTGACCGATGCCACGACCTCCTTCACCACAACAGGGCCGTCCCGGCCATTTCACCCTCGATCGACTCCATCCGGGCATACCTGGACGAGTCGCCGCACAAGCATAACCATGTTTACCATCTGGTGGACGCAGCCGACTTCCCCATGTCTCTCATTCCAAATATCTACAAAGCACTGAACATCATGGAACCACGCTCGCGGAACCGTCGCTCGGCCACCCACCAGTATTCGGGCTCCAAGAGGCTCCCAACCCTTCACATTGTCATCACGAGGTCCGATCTCTTAGCCCCTACGTGGGATCTGGTCAACTCGAAGATGGAGTACATCCGCAAGATGCTCCGTATCCAACTCAATCTGTCGTCTGAAGAGTTCCGTCTGGGCCAGGTGCACATGATCAGTGCGCAGCGAGGCTGGTGGACCAAGCAGGTCAAGGAGGAGATCCAGAACCACGTGGGTGGCGTCTGGGTAGTTGGCAAGGCCAATGTCGGCAAAAGTAGTTTCATCGAGGCGTGTTTTCCCAAAGACTCGAGAAACCTAGAGAAGATCGCGGACCTCGTTGAACAACGGGATATCGAGTCGAAGCGGCAGGGCCAGCAGCAGCTGGAGGAGCACCCAAGCTTTCTCGACTCGGACAGCCTCCTGCCCCCGGCACCCCGTGAGGACATGTTCCCCGTGCTCCCCGTGGTCTCTACCCTCGCCGGCACGACCGTCTCCCCGATCCGCATCCCCTTCGGCCGCGGCCGGGGCGAGATGATCGACCTCCCCGGCCTCGAACGCGGCGACCTCACCAACTACGTGCGGCCCGAACACCAACGCAACCTCATGATGACGAAACGCGTCAAGCCCGAGCGCCTGACCGTAAAGCCGGGCCAATCGCTCCTCCTCTGCGGCGGCCTCATCCGCATCACCGCCGTGCGACCCGACGACATCATCCTGGCGGCCTGCTTCGTGCCCTTCGAGACCCACGTCACCCGCACCGACAAGGCCATCGAGATGCAACGCGGCGACCGCCCCTACCCCGGCGACCCCATCCTCCGCAACGACACCGTGGGCACCTTCGCCTCGGCCGGCCGCATCGACCTCCAGTGGGACGTCACCCACTCCCACCTCCCCACCTCCATCGCCAAGGCCGTCGCGGACCACGGCAAACCCATCCCCGAGCTCCCCTACCGGGTCATGGCCGCCGACGTCCTGATCGAGGGCTGCGGCTGGGTCGAGCTCACCGTGCAGACCCGCGCCAGGTCGCACGCCCTCACCGTCGATGAGTACGACGAGGACATGGACGACGACTACCTGCTCGGCGCGTCCAAGGATGTGGCGGCCTTCTCCCGCACGCCCCAGGTCGAGGTCTTCACGCCCCACGGTCGTCATATCGGATCCCGGGCCCCCCTGGAGTGCTACAAGTACATCGCCGAGAAAGAGGCGGCGGTGAAACGGCAGGCGCGAGGTCGCGGCCGCCAGAGCATCAGCCATCAGAAACGGGTGAAGGCCAGCCGTCGTGCTTCCTCCTCTTAGGTTCCCTGTTTCTTTTTTCTTTCTTTCCCGTTGGGTCCTCCGAGGGTAGGTGTAGGCATGTAAATGTATACTAGCTTGTTCTACCTTGTCATGTTCCGCATAGCGATTGGTGTTGTTCATTTCGTCATTGTTGTTTACAAAGAAGTGGTGGTGCGAATATCGGAAATCTCTTCTCGATGGCTTTCCACTTGTTCAATTTCCAGTTTAGCATAAATCAGAGCATCTAGATATACTTATTCCATGTTTGCAAATGTTCGGTTTAGGTTTGTTCCTTTTATTGTTTTAGTGTTGTGGTAGTCACCAGATTGTGCCGCCTTAGTCTGCTCCGAACTGTGGTTCAAAAATATGTATCTCGACATACCGAGGACTCTCTACCGGACTACTCACACATCTAGGCAAGACAAGCTAAATAGTAAATCAGGGAAGATTTAGACGTAACATCATCAACTTTAGAATTCTTCTTCTTTTCCATATGCAATGTTTGCTTCTGTTCCAAAGATGTCAATCATTTCCCCCAAGCGGTCTGTCTAACTGGTCTAAAGGCAGGATGGGACGAACTCCCTTCCCTTCCCGTCCCTTCTCCATTCAACCCACACTAGCCCTAATCTTACGGGTACTTCAAGCACATTTACTCAATGTTAGCGAAGTGGAACGAGGGCTGACCGGGGACAGCGTTCTCAGCGAAGAGGCCCTCCCGCTTCTCCCCAGTGCCCAGCACCTCCCCGGTCTTGCCGCCCTCGTCGACGGCGATGATCTCGAGGGCCTTGGCGCCGGTGACGCGGGTGATGGCGCCCCGCAGCTCCTGGAGGACGGCGAACTCGTCGAAGGGCAGCTTGCGCTCGAAGACGGTGTCGGGGGCCTCCCGGTTGACGACGAGGCGGCGCTTGAGGGCCTGGACGAAGGGCATGGCCTTCTTCATCTCGCCGAGCTTGCCGACCTGGGCGTTGAGCGCCTTGTCGTTGATGGCCAGGCCGTCGAATGCCTCGCGCACCAGGTCGATGTACTTCTCCTGCCACTGCGGGTACTTCTTGGCCGCGTAGATGGAGAGCTTCTTGGGCTTGCGCGGGTCGAACGTCACCTGCTTGCCCTTGGAGAGCTTCTTGACGAAGGCCGCCTCGGCCGAGGTGATGTTCGACGAGGTCGCGCGCGTGTAGGCCAGCGCGGCGGAGAGCTCCGGCGAGACCTCGGGGACGCTGGGGAATTGCGCCTTGTGGATGGTTTCGGGCTTGGTGGTGATGTTAGATTTTAAATGGGAAGGATAGGGGGATATGGGTTGTGTTGGCAGACGAACCTTCTTCAGGATCTCCAGCCAGACGTATTCGGCCCAGTGAGGAGCAATGATGGCGATCATCAGAGCCTGGAGCTCGATGTACCGCGCCACCATGTCGCGGTGCAGACCGACTCCGGAGGTCGAGGTGGCCTCACGGTAGTAGTCACGGGCACTGACGAAGTCGTACAGACCGGACTTCAAGGCGAGCTTGAAGTTGGTGCTGGTTGGTGTTACTTAGCTACTGGAGGGTAATCATTCAGGCAGTTTAGGGGGTGCTTACTCCTGGTAGTGCTTCTTGGTCTCACGGACCAGGCTGTTCAGCTCGTTGTCGAAGAGCTTGTCCCAGAAGGAATCGGCAGGGCCGGTGCGCAGACTCTCATCCTTAATGGTCTCCTCCATCCAGTCCTTCAGGGTGTGAAGACGGAGAATGTTGCTGTTGGCAACGGTCTCCTCGAAGTTGGCATCCTCGATACCATCACCGGCATCGGCGAAGGCGATGCGAGTAGCATCGGCACCGAACTTCTCGACGGCATCCTTCAAGGTCAAGAAGTTACCCGTACTCTTACTCATCTTCTCACCGTTCAGGAGCAAGTGACCGTTGGCACGGACACCCTTGGGCCAGTACTCGGGAGGGAAGAGTGCAACGTGGATGTACAGGAAGAAGGTCAAGTGGTTGGGAATGAGATCCTTTCCGGAGACACGGACATCCAAGGGGTACCAGTACTCGAACTCTCTGCGCAGCTGCAGCAAGGCCTCCTTGTTAATACCGCTCTTGGAGATGAGCTCGTCGCTGAGCTCACGGCGGCAGAAGACGTAATCCCAGACCTCGTCGATCATCTGCTCCGCCTTGATGTTGAGCGAGCCGAGAGTCTTACCGTAGCGGTCACCGTGCAGAAGGTGAGCGATGGTGTAGTAGGCCATGTAGACCGTAGAGTCACTCAAACTCTCAACCAGGAACTGTTGGTCCCAGGGCAGCTTCGAACCCAGACCGTACGTTCTGGCGCAAGCCCAGCGGTTGAGCCAGGAGAGGTTCTTCTCGAAACCGTTCTTGGTCTCGTTGGAGTAGGTGTTCAAGGTGTTGACCACGTGGTCCAGGGTGTCCTGCTGCCACTTGGCGTCGTTCTCACCGTAGTTCAGGAACCATTGGCCGAGATAGGCAACAACACAGTCATCTCCACTGCGGCTGACAACCTTGCCCATGGGGTCGGCGAAGGGGAAAGCATCTCCGCTGTCGTAGAGAGCCTTGCGGATCTTGTCCTTCACAGCGCTGACGGGCTGACCCTTGAACTCACCAACAAGCATGGTACCCTTGTAGAAGGCCTCACCGTAGGCGAGCTCCTTAGCCTGTGCCAGCTGGTTGACATCTTTAGGAGAGTTGATCTTAAGCTGCTTAACCAGAGCAGGAGCAGTGAGGTTTCCGTAGGTTGGGGTCTCAATAAGAGGGAAGATTTCGAGCTCAGCCCACTCCTTCTTGATGCCGTAGTACTCGGGCTTCTTAGCAAGATCGAGCAGAGTGGCGTAGTCATCAGGACTGTCAGAGGGGACGGAGGTGACGACACCGGTACCCTTGGTAGCCGAGACACCTTCCATGGGGAGGATGCGGACACCTTCGGTGTGGAAAGAGAGGGGAGCGTTGACGAGGGTTCCGACGAAAGCCGATCCGGGGGCCTCGACGACAAGAGGCAGCTGGTCCTGAGACTTGGGGAAGTTCTCGCTGGTGAAGAAAGTTCCCTGGAAGGCCATGTTCCAGGCAGCTCGCTTGGTGGCAACAAAGTACTCCTTCTCCTTCACCTTGTAAAGACCATAGGTGATCTTAGGGCCGAGGAAGCAGCAGGTCTGGCCATACATGGTCTCAGGGCGGAGAGTAGCAGGGACAAAGTAGACGCTCGCATCCTCTTCAATCTTACCCTTGACCAACTCAGCAATTTGAGGGGCCCATTCCTTGACCTTCAGCTTCATGGCGGTGTATTCCTGGGGTCCGATACCCTCACCCTCGGTTCGGTCGTGGTCCATGCAAGGCTGTCCATCCTTGGGGGAGTAGATGGTGTAACGGCTACCGTACTGGATCTTTCCGAGCTCGTGGAGGCGGTTCATCTGCCAGCGGACAAAGGCGTCATAGTAGGGGTTGGCGTCAGTGGTGACGAACTGTCTGCGCCAGTCAATTCCGGCACCAATGCTGTCGAGATCGCGGATAGCGAGAGGAGGGAAGTGCTGAAGCCAGTAAGCGGCATCGGCGAACTTGTGGATCTCCTCAAGAGGGATACCGATAGCCAACATGATCTGGAACTGGTACTTCATCTTGACAGTCTTCGCGGCGGCCTTGCTCTTCTTGCCGGAGAACTTCTCGGCCTGCTCGGCCTTGACCTCCTGAGTCGGGGCGGCGACAGCAGCCTGCTCCTGCTCACTCTCCTCCTTGTAGTTCTCAAAGCTCTGGCCGAACTTCTGGACCTCATCACGGAGCTTGTCGGCGCAAGCCTTGATGGGCATACCGGTGCAGTGGAAACCCAGAGGGAAGAGAGCACGCTTGCCCTCCATACGGGCCACACCAGTCATGAACTCAACCTTACTGGCAGTGAAACTATGACCAGCGTGCAGAGTACCGTTCATGTAGGGATAAGCCATGGTTCCGAAGAACTTGGGGTGCTTCTCGCGGAGCTCCGCCGCGGAGATGCTGCCGTAAGGCACCTCAGCGTCGGAGGGGGCATCGACCTCGAAGACCTTGTTCTCCTTCCATTGCTGTTGGTATTTCTTCTCGATAGCAATAAGGGTGTCTCTCTTCTCGGTCTGTGAGTGAGATCGAGGTTAGCACGGATTGCATGACAAAGAGGGGCTTCTGGCGGTAGGAAGAGGGGCAAGTGAGTCGCACGTTTTCCAGCTTCAGAGTGTTTTTAGTGCTGTTGCCCTGATCGAGCGCAGCTGCGGAAGCAGCAGCGGCTGCCATTGCTCCAGATAGAAGGTCTTCTTCTCGTAGAAATGAAGATAAAGAAGCCCTGGGGCAAGGATGGAAAGCGGAGTCTTATAGATCGTCTCGAGTCGCCGCGGGGTTCGAAAAGAATTCCTCCGTATGTGGGAAAAGGCGGTCCGTGAGTCACCGCCTGCCTCTTTCTACTCCGAACTCGCTGCAAACCAATTGACGGTATAATATGGAACTGAAATTCGATAGGAAGGTGGCTTTGTCTGGCTTTAAATAGAATGAGTATGAGCTAGAGGTCCTATCTGGGATCTGTTGCTTATGGGTGCAGTCTGTGACTCACAGGGATAATATATTGGTGAAGGAGTGTATTGTTTGTACACCCCAGATTAACTACTGGCTGAGCCGGGGAGGAATGGACGGATCTATGCTTAGTGTTGAGGATGGTAGTAGATTACATAAAACCTCATTCAGGTACAAATACAGGCCAACCCTGACTCACCTAGTTTCGACCCACTATCTATATGATCAATTCTATCTAACACGCGATATTGTATTGCGTGCTAGGTCGAACACATGCATTGGTAGCCTTGGAGCCCGGCCGTATCGCATTGCATCACGTGATTAGATATCGGCTGCTTTTCTTTCCGCCCAAAAATCAACGCGGAAGCTTCCAACCAGCAGCGAAAGCACCTTGAACCACCGCGGACAAATTGCAACCAGTCGCTGCCGGATCTGCGCTGGAATCCATTTCTGTATCACTACAGCATAGTATACAGAGAGCTTGCGAGCCACTCCCGTCACAATGGTCAACGTTTTCAAGCGGATGCGGAAGCTGAAAACTGTAAGTTAGCCATCATCCATCCCCCTTGTCGATACCACCCCGGAAGACTGACTTGGACTTCGTTGCACCCCTACAGAAGGTAAGACCTTCTTGATACAGATCTCGACATACCCCGTGGGCCCTGTCATCTCCTCGAGCCTCCATACGGCGATCACCAACCGTGACCTCCAAGAGACCCAACACCGACGGAGAGCAACCCACCATCAACTCCACGAAACCTCGAGACTGACATCTGCAAATCTACCCAGCTTCTCAACGTCCGCGTTGGCACCGGAGCCGCCGTCTTCCCCGCGGCGCCCTCGGCGACCCAAGAATTCCCCGCGATCACCCGCCTGCACCTGACCTACGCCCGCAAGATCTACGGCGGCCACCAAGGCGCCCGGCATTTCTGGCGCAACTGCCTCCCGCGGCTCAAGTATCACAACCCGGGCATCCCGATGACCGTCCGCCAGACGGAGGACCAGGACGGGCCCGCCGCCCTGAGCGTCTACTTCGCCCAGAAGACCAGCACGACCGCCGCCTCGCTCGCCGCCGAGGACCTCAAGGATGCCCACGCCCCGGCGCCCGCCGACAACGAGCAGGTCGCCGTCCTCGACGTCCGAAACCTCCCCTACACCGAGATCTGGAACAAAGTCAAGAACCTGACCAACGCCACGGAGATCCCCGCGACGACCCAGGAGGCGGCCGAACTGCGCAAGCTGGACGAGATGGCCGCCAAGTCCAAGACGGATCGCACTCGTATCGCGGCCAAGCGGCAGGTGAAGAAGGACCAGGAGCGCATGCTGAAGGAGGCTAGAGAACAGGTCGAGAGGTTGAAGCAGCTCTAAAAAAACAGAAGTTGTTGTTGACTGTTTTTTTTGCCTCTCTTTCTTTTGTTTTCTCTTTCCTTTTGCGCTTTTCTCTCCACCGTCCCTTTCGTCTTTTCTGTGTGTGTGGGTGGTGTCATAACTTTCCAGCTGCTTTCAAGATGCGGTTACAGTTTTGGTTTGTGGGGTTCACAACTTGGTCATGGTCACTTGTAGCATACTAGCATTTTCCCTGTTTCATATTTCCTATACTCTTGTTCGATTATGTGGTTCGTGTCGAGAATATTACATCCCTGCTAAGGGAGTTTGTACTTCTACGGTTCTTGTGGTGTTATTTGGCTTTCTATATGACTTCCTGCATTTTCCATTTGTAGCGAAAGTCTGGAAGTCCTGTTGGCATATTGAATTAGAAACAATTTGCCGCGGTCGTGAGTCATGTAAAATGGATAATAGCCTCCAACCCGAACATGTATCTACTCTCATTCATATGATGCATTCGTAACATGCCCAGTTGGATCCATAATGTGAAAATATACAGTCAGTAAGAAAGCAGGTGGACTTCCCTGGAAAGTACAAATTGCTACCCGTCTTGAAGGACTCACCACCATGGGTGGAGAAAAAGAGCAGCCAAGCCCGGGCAAGGATGGGACTCAGGAAGCCGAACTGGCAGCCCTCCTTGGCCTTCACAACACAAGAATGATTCTTTAAGGATATCTCCAAACGAACACAAAAAAAGGAGCAGTGCTGAGCATATTTTCACATTAAGCGTGGTCCGGAGTGTAGCTAGTTTCACCTAACATCGCCTGTCCTGCTGCTACTGTTGGGGTCGGAGTCTGACTATGGGCGGCGCCTGGCTGATTCAACGTCAATGGGGGCGCTCTCGCTGCTGCAGCAGCCTGGAGTCTTTGATCCAAGGCCTTGAGAGCCAGCGCGCGTCGTCGCTCGGCCTCCTCCCGCTTGGCCGTGGCTCGTCCCCCGCGCTGGTTGGTAAGAAGGCTGGGAAGACCGGCTTCGCCGCGGGCCAGGACCTGCTGATTGCCGGATGCGATGTCCTCCTCGGAAAAGGGGGTGCAGACTCTCACCGCAACCAAGAGCGCATAGACCTGGTCGGAGAAGAAAGCGATGGGCGGCTGGATGATGTCGGGAAATAGGCATGCGAATGCGAAGGTCTCGCTCGCGTCACCCCTGCTGCCCAGTCCGTCGGTCGAGGTGCCGGTCAGGTCGGGCTGGCGCTTGAAGAATCGCAGGTAGGTCCAGCTCGTCACGAGACCAAGCCAGGAAAGGAGCGCGGCGGCCCGGGTGCCGACGACTACACCGCTGATCGTGTTCAGGATGAGGAAGAGGGCGGGGAAGTGCTTCACCCGCATCTTCACCAAGCCCTGGAAGATGGTGACGGTGTGTTCGGGGACGAGCTGCTTAAAGGCGACGAGGAAGGACGCCTGAATCGAGATGCCGCCGCAGATCTGCGTGACACTGGACGCCGGGAAGTCAGCAGGGAAAGCGCACGATGTGGTGCATTCGCGAGGGGTGAAAGGGGCGTACCCGCTGCTGGCGCTGCCGCTCATCGCAGTACCTAAGAGATAGATAGGGACGATGACCACATTAGGGATCACTGCGATCGTGAGGATGAACTTGGCAAACTCTCGTGAACCCCACGCCCGCTCCAGGTACTTCCCGCCGTAAAAGAGGGTGGCGGCGTTCAGAAGAACAGTGAAGATGTTCCGCTCCACAAACGTAGCAGTCACGAGCGTCCACGGGTAATAGAGGAGATATGACGGAACAAGCGTAAAGTAGGGTACGATGGGGGTGACGGTCGGTGTGCCCCCCGTGGTGTCAATTTGGCGCCATCGGGCAATGTTGTACAGCAAGGAGAGGGTAAGGAGACTGACGAGGCAGATTCGGGTGGCCGGAGGGATGTTCACTCGGAGAGCCATGATGAAAGAGGGTCTGAGAATAAGAGCTCTTGCGGTTGCTAGACCGCAGGCTGATTGACGGAGCCCAGCTGGGAGATGTGAGGTTGTGAGGAGGGACAGCGAAAGTGGTTGAAGGAAAGATAGAAATTCAGGCCGAATCAACTCAGCTACTATTATTAAGGTGTACGGAGAGAACAAACACCTCCCGAAGAACAGTCGGGAGTCCCGAGACGAGTCCTTTTAGGGATAAGCTGCAAGGATACCTACTACTGTAGTAGGATCGCATAACTATATCTGATTGGTCACCTTGCAGGGCCTTACCAGAACGGGGTCTCATCCTTAAATGGAAGAGCCTGGCATCACCGGTGCTTGGACCTTTTGGACCACGGAGTATGTACGTACCTAATACCTAGCCTTATCACAGATTGTGGAGTAAATACTAGAAGTAGGGGGGGGGGGGGAGGGAAAGGTTTCCAGCGTGGCCCGAGTTATTCTTTAAGATTTCTTCCGTATAATAGCGAAGATTGAATACATCATGGTGACAATGGAGTCTGTCTTTGTTCGGGCCATCCGACTTAGCATGACCCTGATGACAATCGGGCATGTGCTCCGATTTCTCCCCTGCAGTATTCCTACTGTAGCAGTCTTCTGATATGGTTCGTTGACAAAAGGTGGGGAGCATAATTCATATCCATGCAAAAGCTAGACTCTAGACAGGAGGTAACACAGAGCGACATTTACATTTATTTGCACCGGCGGGGAGCGGGAGGGATTTAGCCCACAATGCATGCATGCACCAAAGATGATGTACAACGAGCGGATCGACCGGCCAGCCCAGCAAAAGGATGGACCGCACCAAGATCCAGATCGACTATTGACTACAACCCCTGTGGATGAGTACGATCTGACATATATTGACTATCGCTGAGAGTCTCTAGGTATTGAAGCATTGAAGTAGACATTGTCTACGAGCTGAAGACAGATCGATGGCAATCAAATCCCCCGTGACGAATTAGAGGGGTAATTCTTCCAGCCCAGCAGCCAGCCTAGCCCTTAACCATGTGTTCAGGAAATGATGCTCCATGGAAATGCGGTCGACCTGATCAGAATAAGGTGACCAACCAGAAAATAAAAAGAGAGTTGGCCCCGTTTGCACTAGTCCCAACCCGGCCCAGCGGCCAGGTCGATCCGCTGGCCGTCAATTTGATGGTAATTTTGATGGTACGGGTTTAGTCAACTGCACGCTAACCATGGCCTAGACGCCACAACGAGTCAAGCGCCCCCCCCCATCATCCCCCGAAATTGTCCCAAGTCAACACCGTCCGTCCTTCTGTCTGGCAGTCTGTCTGTGTCGAAATTGTTCATTGTCACAGATTCAATCATTTTCTGGCTGTTACTGCTGAAGTTGAGAAACCTAGAATTGAGAAGCACTGAACGAACAGACCGACAGACCGTTAGACTGTTAGGCTGTCTGCCTGTCTGACAGAAGACATAATTGGAAAAACACATCTGAAAAAGAGTGTTTGGAGGGTCGTCCATCCGAGTGTCCGGTCTGAACCTTTCTCTCTCTCTCTCTCTCTCTCTCTCCCTCTCTCTTTACCCACATACCGTACCTGGTCTTGCTGCTGCTGCTCCTGCTGCTAGACTACTGCCCCGAAACTAAGGGTAGTTCCTCATCCGTCCGTCTGGCCTCCCTCTAACTTAACCTCTCCATCAGTCAACTCAACTCAAATCTCCCTTTAGAGATCGCCCGCTGCCAACCCATCTCATTCCCCCCAATTATTTTCGTATCTCTTCTCTATTCCTACAGTTCTCCACGGACCCTCTCTCCTTTGGTTCTCTCTTTCTCTCTCTTTTGCCCCCCCTCATCATCCCCCCTCCTCGCCCCCCCATCCGCCCCTCTCTTCTTTCTTCCCAAACATTTGGTGTTGCTTCTCCGGTCTCTGCAGTTCGCTAGCGGGTCTACCATCGTCAAGCCACACGTTGGTGTCGATTTCCTCCCGTCCCGATATTATTCGTTCTTCACATTTCCCTTTCAACCTCCATTTCGTACTGCTGTCAGAGAACCTTGAAACTTCTCTTTCGTCCTAACAATCTCGTCAGTGGGAGCTTGTAGAATGTTCCCTAGTCATTTGCACACTTTGTGACCATCTTACTGCCTTTCTCATTTGACATTTGTGGCCTACGTCCGGGCCCTGCATCTTTAACCTCCCCCTTCGCATACTGGTCGTCTCCCTTGTCACGGCCTTGGCTGCGTCTTTACCCGTCTCGTTCTCCCCTCTTCTCCAGCAGAGCTCCCAGCTTCGAGAATTCTTAGCACGAAAGAATTTGCTCCACAGTGCTTAATCAGTCGACTCCCGGGAACTCTCACATCTTCTGAAGCTTCATTTTCCCATCTCGCGCCGTTGCTCATCTGTCTCGTCGGAGAAGCTTTTCACTTCTGGCATGCTAGCGGACCCTACATCTTACTAGCTGTCATACATGTAACAATGGCACACCCTGATCTCACATCACATCATGTCAATTACCTAATATGGAGGTATGTATCAATTTCCATTTGAGCCAACCTCGTTCCTGTTTCGTCTCAGCGCAGTCACTGGCTGTGGCCCTGGTGCATCTTCCGCTGACTCCCTGATAGGTACCTCCAAGAATCAGGTAAATTCATGTTTTCTCTGGTGGTTGACAAAACGTTCAAGCATTTGTTAGTTCCGCTGACGCTCGTTTATAGGACATGGCGAAGCTGCAATCACATTGCAGCGCGCGTGGAATCATGACCCGCAGAGTTTGCCATTTGCCCCATACATCAAAACCCATGCTCTTGTCTCGTTAGTACAAAAAGGCCTACAGTATTACGAACTGGAGCATTCTATTGATCGGGTATGAACACAATTCTTTCCATCTTATCCTCAAGTATCTATCTTCACCATCCAACCCTTGGGAGCCATTTTGCGTGGATTTGAAAAACGAAGATTGCGAAGATGGCGCATAGTCTAATTTGCAACATAGGATGGAAATGCGACATCTTTTTCACCATCGACTTATTTTTTCGGACCAGCTCCTTTGGAGCCGGAGACGTCAAAGGTGCAAAATGGCCCGGAGGAGGCAGCAGTTGGCACAGACCAGGCGCCTGTCTCGCCCGCAAGCAAAGTTGCGCGCGAGAGCAGCGGCGGCGGCGGCGGCGGCGGCGACGGCGTGACCAATGGTCATTTGACGGCCGAGGTTGCCGCCCCCCAGCCCGTCCCAAATGCTAAGAAAGCTCGCAAAAGCGACCGCCCAGAAACTAACGGTGATGAGATGCCGATGGAAGTAGATTCCAATGGAGTCACACACTCAGAGGTCAAAGCCGCAGTGGCAGCCGAGGAATCGCCATCAACAGCCGAGATGGCGGTGGATGGGGATGGCGACGTGAGCATGGGCATCCGACCGGAATCGCAGGACCACCAGGAACCACCCGCACCACCACCGCCAACCTTTACCCTGACAACCGGCCACAGCGTTGGCGTACAGATCACCCCCGCCAAGGCGGCCGACCTGGCACCCGACACCGCCCTCCTGGAGGTGGCTGGTGACGATCACGTGACGCGGTCACTGTGGCGTCCCAATGACCCCACCGTTGTCGTCGCCGCTGGTGATACATTCTGTAGTCTATGGAGATTATCGTCAACCGCGCCTCCGGTGCAAGAAAAACTTGTCGAGAACAATGGCGACCGTACATGTGT